GTCTCAAACAGTCATATATCAAAATGACAAGCGTAATTTTACTAATTTTCACAGTAACAAAAGCTTAGTTTTGTGATATTTAATTACATTACGTATACCAAACAATTTCAAAATCGAATATTTCTATTTTGTAAGTCCAACTTGATATGGAGTGAACACAACCATGTTTCGTTGCCAAATACTCTAGATATAGTTGATATGGTTCGTATCGCCTCAACCATGTTTCGTTGAATGGAAATAGAGTTTAGCAAGCATTTTCATTTAGCAAAAAAATAGAGTTCATTGCGTTCTAAACATGCAAATGCAAAATATTATGAAAAAGCGAACAAAGAAAAGGGAAATTTAGAAAATTGCCCCACATTGAAACTGAGTTTGTCCAAATACATTTTTTTCATTTTTTACCATTTTTTTCTATATTACCCTTAAACAAAAAATAATAATTAGAAATAAATATTTTTTAATTTTTTTAAAAATACTATAATTACATGAACGTAAAATATATGCATTTCCATACATTGGAATATTTTTAAAGTTCACAAAAAGCTGAAAAATAATTATATATTTTTCTCCTACGCCTTCTAGAATGTATGTTCTACGGCTAGTAGCTCTACGGACCCGTAGATTATTGGTTCTGCCTATTTTATTAATATCTACCGAGTTGTAGAAAATGTGTTCTACTGAATGCTCTGTCTTCTACGTCTTCGTAGAATATTTCTTCCACCGTTTGCAATACCATCTACCATACGTAGAATATGTATTTTACCGCATTGTCTATCATCTACCGTATCCAGAACAAAAATTCTACCATAGTTTCTATCATCTATAGAAAGTAGAATGTGTTTTCTACTAAATTAATTTAAAATTCTTTTAATTTAGGATCTTAAAAGAAGTGAATATTCGATTTTTCTTATTCGATTTTTTTGAAGATATTGTTGATATCACAATGTTTATAACCTATTTCATATTTTTCCCGTTTTTATATATTTATACAATTTTCGTGTTGATATATTTATATAATCTCAAACTACTAAAAACTATACATTAAAAAAAAAAATCTGACTAAACAATACAAACACATTTTCCAATTATTGATTAAACAATACAAACACATTTCTTTAACACATCCATAGATTTCTAATTATAATTAATTTTATTTTTCATAAATATATTTCTCATAAATTTATTTTAGATCTATTATTAACAATACAAAAAAAATTTTTTTTATAAAAATTAAAAGGCAAAAACGGATTTCACTTTAACTAAAGTATAATGGGACAAAACCTAGTATTTAAAGGTGTATTAGGACAAACTCAACTTCAATGTGCATCAATTTTCCAAATTTCCAAAAAGAAACATGCAAATGTAAAGTGGCTTTGCATGCAAACACAATTTAGATCACGGGGATGCCTAAAAACGAAATCCACTTCGAAACCCAAAACTTCTCACCACATGTCCTTGTCTTGATGAAATTCGCCTCCAATAACAATAATTTAGAAGAAAAATATTAGAAACAAATCACAAAATATAAAATAAATATGTAACTTACAATTACAAATGTAGAAAAAAAATGGAGTCACGAGAAAGAGATAGGGTTAGAAAGAAGCAGAAACACACATGTGATAAGCTTCGTTATCACAACTTTTGCTCTCTGCTTCACATGCCTAAGATTAGGAACATGAAGTCTAGATTTGTATTTGGTAATATAACTACTTCATAAATTTATATACATTAGAGATTACATCATTTTTAATGAGAAAATTCTTTGTAGAGTTATTCTTTAATTAAGATCGAGATTCTATACGAATACTTAGACTAAATTTAGTATATGTGCAGAAAACAGAATTATGGTTTCTGCCAAAAGAAAAAAAAAAATTAATAACAGGAGAAATATGTTTTCTAGATTTTTAACGAAAATTATCTGGAAATTGGACTCTATATATATATATATTGACACTTATCTTTGTTCATAATCTGCAAAAGAAACCATCTTTACCTTTAGCTTCATTTACAATCATTTCTGTTATCTAAAATGGCGACCAAACTTAACACCATTGTTTTCTCCATTGTTATGCTACATCTTCTTCTGGCTGCCCAAATGCATGTAAGTGTTGGAACACTTCTTCTATTCTAACTTTTTTCAATTCCTCACATTCATTAATTTTTACTTTATACATTCTGAATATTTCACAGCCTATACACTTGGAATCTCCTGCTCCACAACCACAACCGCCACAGTCGCAACCGCATCATCAAGTGAGTTTCTCCTTTTTTCGCTACTAGAGAGTTTTCATGAAATTCACAAAATCGTTTTTAACATTCTTTAAATCTTCTTGTTATTTTGATAGTATGGTACTACTGAAGGCAGTCTTCAACCTCAAGGTAAGCTAATGAACTAGTCTAGTTTTCAAATGAATTGTTTTCACTAAATGCAAAACTAAATTCCGTTTTTTCCCCAAATATATTAGAGTGCGGACCACGGTGTGGAGATAGATGCTCGAATACACAATACAAGAAGCCATGTTTGTTCTTCTGCAACAAATGTTGTACCAAGTGTTTGTGTGTACCTCCAGGTACTTATGGCAACAAGCAAGTCTGTCCTTGCTACAACAACTGGAAGACTAAGCTCGGTGGACCAAAATGCCCTTAATTCCTCGCCTCTTAATTTCTTCGGCGTGAACTCTGCGTAATTTGTTAATCTATTTCTCATATTGTTCTAGTTTTTG